ATGATGAAGAAATGTTATCGCTCGCAGTCGCTTTTTTTCCTGGAGAAGCCGCGGCACTAGAAAATGGCATGTGGCCTATAGTGATCATACGCTGACAAGACTGTGGATAGCTCTGTCCTCTAAGGATTGCTTGTAATTAAGATGTTGGTGGTTTCGACTGTCTGGCGTGCTTCCCTCTCATTTTCTGATTCGATTTTGATGTGCGATTATAAGGAGATACTTTCGGTCTTCGGCAGCCTTGGATTTTGCATTGTTGTTTCTTCTTATGTGGCAGTTTCATCTCTCAATTAAATAGTTTTTCAACAGATATTGCGACAAGATGCGGCCACATGTATGGCAATCCATGACAAATTTGCAGCATTGGGCAGTCGCTCTGGCTATGTCTATATTGTTGATCATTTTGGTAATTTACATCCCGAAAATGTGAGGCTTTTTTTCATTTGCTTCATAAATTTAGTGCTTTTTGGCCGTTGTGTGAAGCATTTTGTTCAGCACTTAGAATGAAACTTGGAAAGTTGCAGAGTTGAATTGTGCCCTATGCTTCCAAGTCTGCTTAAATCAGTTCTCTTACACAGTCTGTTTCTCCAGCTTCACAACTAACAACTTTTCCAGTTGCTCTGATCAGTGTTGCATCGGCTGGTTGATTATTTCGCTGGCAATCCTGACGTTCGTGGACCCCTTCTAAAGAGATTAGGCAGCTCAACTTTCTCCTTAACAGAAGTATTTAGTCAGATTTCACTCGCTTTTAGATGTGTTTGGTGTGTGCTGGCCTCCGCAAAATTTGTCATTTTTAGACCGCGATAAGGTATCCGCTTCCAAGAATTTGATTCTGTGCGTAGTATATAATTGTTGCAATTTAGAGTGCTCGCCACCACAAATGTCCGGTAATAAAAATATCAGTTGAGCCGACAGGTTCCTATTTCGTCAGTTGCGCCTTGGATGCACGAATTAGTATTGCTGGAATTACCTCTTCTGAGCTTGCTCAGGTAACTTGCCGGCACTTACTGCTTCCTTTTTTATTCATTGCTTAAATGGATGAGCAGAAACCGAGGAGCGGGGAGAGGGAGTGGGCTTCAGAGAGATCATAAGATCATTGGCGAGGAGGGAATGGACGTGCGGGACCTTCGGCGTGAGTGACATCAACAATTGATTATTGTAGGAATTGAGCAGAATTTACAGCGACTGTGAGCTGGCTGCAATAAACGCTTTAAAGCTCTTAGTTTAATTTCATTTTTTATGCGTTTTTTGCAGCATTGCAATGCAAAAAACGCATATTGACGAGAGGTTGTCTGTGTGTCTGTGCGTCTGTGTGTCCGTGTGTGCGTCTGTCACGCACTTTCATCTCAAGACCTATAAAAGCTGCGGGGCTGAAATTTCGGGAACTTAATCTACATGCATGGACCGCCTCCAATCCCCATAATGGGCGCCAAGACCCGCGTGGTACCCGCGTACGGCCCGCCAAAGTTTTTTTGGGGTCAGTTCAT